GACTGCGGCTCTGCTGTCGCTCAGACTAACTTTCACTTTCACTTCAGGAGAAGTGACTCAGCAGCTCTCCTCTCTCACAGTTGCTCCTCCTCTCAGTGAAGCTCTGTGAACGAGCTTTTACTGCCTCTTTGAGGAACACCCTGACATTCAAACACCAGTTTAACTTCCTTCTTATTCCTTTTTCTTGTTTTTTGTGTGTTTTGAACGTTAAATCTGAAATACTGTATGTTTTTTATTTATTTACACATTTCCCAGAGTTGTTTATCATGAAGCACCCCATCATCTGGCGTTCATAAGCTCCACATGTATTTTTTCAAACAGGGTGCGTGTTGTGATGTGTTAATATCCAGTTGTTTATAGACGGGACGTGTGATGCTGGTTGCATTTACTCAACTTCTATTGTTATTGGGGACAATTAGATCACAAGGTGATGCAGCCTGACGTGCTGTATGTCATCGTATAAAAGGTTTAGCTCAGTTTAAGCTCAGCAGAAAAACAGAATCTGAGAAGAGAGGAAAGGAGGAACAACTCATCACTAAGTTAGTACAAGTTACGTGTGATACTTTTATTTAGACTTTCCACTGGAAAAGTCGCTTTTATTTGTCAAGATCTCCTGTTTTTTATTCGTGAATATTGATCATGTTGTGCACTAGTCTCTGATTTTGTTTCGATGAGTCCATCCTGCTGTGTGTCACAAACAGATTCATTCTGAGGAATCTGCTCTATTCGCCACGATGAAGGTTAATTTTCTGAGACTGGAGACCTGCTGGAGGATGAATCCACCGCAGCTAACATCACATTGTATTGTTTCTTAAAGTAACTGTGTGTTATTGTTCCATTAAACTGCTGAGTCAGATTCAGACTGAAACATCTTCCAGCCGTGCTTCCTGGAGAGAAACGCAGCTTTGAAACGTCTTCCAGTCGCGTCGGCAGGTCTTCTTTCATTCTGTTGCAAAGGAATAAACGATTTGTGACGAACAGAACTGAAATGATTATTTTCTGGCGCTCAGATCCACGAGTGGATAGAAAGCGTACTGGAAGTGAAGAGAGAGGGCCAGACAGACACAAAGAAAAGGGTTCGTTTGGTTCACTGGCCTTGAGCTCCCTCTGAGATGAAGCAGAACAACTCTTTCCTCCTCTGCCTCTTTCTATCAAGCCTCCATTTCACCATAAGCACCCCTCTCTCCTGCTCCAACGCTCCTCGTAGTCTTCTTGATTTATTTCCTCCCTCTGACTCTCGTACTGTAACTTAACCCTCTGAACCCCTGAGCAGTTTTGGGCCGTTTTTACGCTCTGTGGCTTGATTGTCACTGCAATATATAAGTCCCGCCCCTCTATTGAAACAGAACAATCATGGCTAGAAGTAGAGAATATCTTTGGCGTAGTTTAACACACTTACCATGACATATATCATACAAAAGAAAAAAAAAAACACAAGTTGAATTTCTTTGACAATATATTTAACAAAAATTGGAAAACCATGGAATCTATATATGCAACATTGTTCCAAGTGTCCACGAAGAAGGAGGTTCCACATTCTATTCATATTGAACTATTTACATTTTTACAACCACGTGTCTGTTGGTCTGAGCCGAATCAATCGAGGCTTTAGTTGCTACTGAGGAGCGCAGAATGTAATGTTTTTCACAGCATCTGGTGAAAGTAAGAGGTTTATTCGGCGTGACACTTTATATAATACATACAGATGAAATATCACAAATTTGAGCTTTCTTTTGGCTGCTTTTTCTGACTCAAGCGTTCGTCACACATGATGTGTTCAGGGACCGCAGAAAACATGATAATCTGACGATAACTAAATCGTTTTTCACAGCTTCCGGCTGGTAAACGATGTAAAAAACACACTTTTCAATCCGGTCGGCGGGTTCTGGAGTTCAGAGGGTTTCAATTTCCTCCTTCCCACTTATTTTTTATTTCCCTTCATTTGCTAATTTCTCTGTTACGTGTCTCAATCTATCGACTTCAACAGCTCATCTGGGTTTGTGCAACAGGAAGCAAAGTACCTCAGACATCCTTTCCCTGAGCCCCGTCCTCCCAGCTTCTCCTCGGGTATCCCAGGGTGCATCGGGGCCGGGTTGCGTGTATGATCCTCTCACTGGGTCTGGTTGCCAATCGGTCGTGTCCAAAAGGCTTCCACTTGGAGGATCTGATGCCCTTCTTGCTCCTTTAGTTGATGTTCTTGTTCGCCCCTGTGTCTATCGCTCTACTGTCACTCTGTTTATCCCTCATCACCTCCATCACTGCTGAGCCTCACGCTTCCACGTCTACTTTCACCACCGACCTCAGGCGGTGTCGAGTTCAGTCTCATTTACTTTACTCTCATTTTATCTCGAGCCGTCTTGCTGCTTTCTAACCGCTGACCTCTCCGTGGTACTTCCTCTGGCTTTCGGCCGCACAGAGGAGGTCTCTGGTTTACCACCGAACCCCTCCGACAGAGACGGAGCTGTAAGTGACTGAGCGCAGGGATTGATTGGCCTCAGATCGGCTGATAAAACCTGCATGCTGTCTGCAGCCGGGGTGGCTGCCTTAAGAACATGGCGCTCAATACAAACAGAAAACAAGATCAGAGATGGAGATAGACGTTGCTGTTGTTAGATCCCCTCTTGCTCCTCTACTCCTCTCCAACATACTTAATTTCTCAAACTAGCCCTTGTTTGACCCCAAACGTCAGCGTGTTGTCTGACGAGAGTCACCTCGGGCAAACTAGGTAAAGTTTGCTCATTTCCTGACTGTGAAAGAGAACAAAAAACAGCTTCAGTGTGACATTGTGAACATTTTTTATCTGCTTTCACAAAGAGATTGAATGTCAAACGGTATGTGTGTCCGGCTCAGTAAGTGGGTGTTTCCCCCTCTGTCGGGCTCTCTTGGTTTGACCCTGACATTAATGGAGTGTGTCTTAGGTCCTCCAGGGCAGTCAGAGATGATGCACATCCTCCTCCTCCTCCGTGGTCTGTCCGACACACACACACGCACACACACACACATACACATACACACTTTTTCCCCCTGTAGTTTTGCCTTCATCAGCTGGGTTCTGTTGTTGTTGTTGTTGATCTGTCCTTTCCCACAATGCAGCGGTGTATCTCTCTCCACTCGTCCTCCGTTTTGTGATATAGAGAAGTCGGACTGTTGTAGCACATGTGACCCTCTCAGGTCTCTTGTGCCGCGTCTCTCGCTTCTCAAATTTGAAATTCAAACAGGACAAAGCGTGTGCTAGCGAAGCATTCGCAGGGATTGTTGTGTGTTAAGTCAAACTGTTGAATGTACAAACGTTAGTCGACTGAGAGTCGGGATCTCTCTCCTTGTTTTTCAGGGACCTGAGTGAAAACAGCATCCAGGCAATCCCAAGGAGGGCCTTCAGAGGAGCCACGGGCCTCAAAAACCTGTGTGGAAGTGCACACACACACACACACACGCACACACACACACACACACACACACACACACACATAAATATGACTTTTTATGAACCTTTGATGTTATACTAAAAAAAGTCAAAAAAAAGTTTCATATGTCACAAAAGTCATTGTATAGTAGCGTGAAAAAAGTCATACAAAAATTATAGTTTAGTATGTAAAAAAAATGATTTAGTATGTCGCTAAAAGAAAAGGATGTTTTTGAAAATGCTCACAAACCAACGATTCACACAAAGTACGTAAATCTTGAGTTCACACTGCGTAGTATTTGGATTGTGTGTACATGACTCATGCCCGGATGTAAACTACATTAGAAGGATGCAACGTGAGCTTACTGCACGTGCTCAACTGCCCCACAATGCATTGCGTCTTGGTGCCTTGAAACCAAATTCAAACACATTTTGTTCATTGATCCCTTGATCGATTGGCGCAATTAGACATCGTTCTGTTTGTCTCGCTGTCGTCACCAGGCAGCTGGATAAAAACCACATCAGCTGTATCGAGGAGGGGGCGTTCAGAGCGCTGCGATCCCTGGAAGTACTGTGAGTATTCTGAATACTTCTGTGTACTGCCATCACTTACTATGTTAATACCTTCTAAACTTCTGTTTTCATTTGTACTCGCCATCAACTTGTTTTTGTCTCACCGACTCTCCCATCATTCCTCTCACTATTTATTCTTATCTTTCCTTTTTTATCTCCTTTCTTCTCATCGTGTCTCACTTTCTCTCCCATCTTTTCTCCCTCACTCTTTCTCTTTCTGTCTGTCAATGTCTCTCTCTATCTCTATGTCTCCCTCTCTCTTTCTCTATGTCTCCCTCTCTCTTTCTCTATGTCTCCCTCTCTCCCAGCACGCTGAACAACAACAACGTCAGCAGCATCCCGGTCTCCAGTTTCAACCACATGCCGAAGCTCCGCACCTTGTGAGTCCTTCAAGTCAACGCACTACGTTACCCAGGATGCCGCATTCTGGAAACAGAACCACAATGAGATGTAAACAACGGTCACAGTCAGATGCTTACCAATACTTACGTTCTCTCCTTTCCTATCTCCTACAATACTTCCTTCCCTACTCTGTTATGTCCTCCCACCTATCCACTCCTTCCTTCCTTTTCTCACCCTCTTTTGCATCCTTCCGCTTTCCATTTCCTCTTCTCTCTCATCCAACTCTTCCCTTATTTCCTTGTACACTTCCATTTTCTGCTCTCCTGCTCTTCTCTTCATCCCCCTCCCTCCTTCTCTCCCACCTGTCCTCTCTCCCTCCCCCTGATCTCCCCTCTCCATCCTCCCCCCGTCTCCTCCCAGCCGGCTCCACTCTAACGCTCTGCGTTGCGACTGTCACCTGGCCTGGTTGTCTCCGTGGCTGCGGCAGCGGGCGGCTTTGGGCCTCTACACCCAGTGCAGCTCTCCTCCCTCGCTGAGGGGCCTCAACCTCGCCGAGCTGCGCAAGAGCGACTTCGCCTGCTCAGGTACGGCAGCCCGGTGACACGAGACGACGCGCTCGGGTCAAAGCGTGGCCCGACGGAGTTGAAAGTTGGTGTTGTTTCGTTGTTTGCTTGCAGGTAACGGTGGCAGTGCCTTCGTTCAGCCATGCAGCCTGGCGTCCGGCTCCTGTCCTCCCATGTGCTCCTGCAGCAACAACATCGTGGACTGTCGGGGGAGGGGCCTCACCGCCATCCCCGCCCACCTGCCCGAGGCCATGACTGAGATGTGAGTATCATAGAGGTTTACATTTCAACCAGGCGGCAACCTCTGGTTCTGCTGAGTGAAGCCGATGCTTCATGTGTTAAAGCTGCATTCTCTCTAGTGTCCACCAGGGGGCGACTCCTCTGGTTGTATAGAAGTCTATGAGAAAATGACTCTACTTCTCTCTTGATTTATTACCTCAGTAAACATTGTAAACATGAGTTTATGGTCTCAATCTCTAGTTTCAACTCTTCTTCAATACAGCATGATGTTCATTTAGTACATTATGGTCCATTTAGAGTCACACAGACCATAAACAAATCAGAGTTGCAATGATGAAATATAATGTTAGTCAAACCTTTAGAAATTAGTTAGGGTTTAAATTTGATTTAAAAATTTCTCATCTTTTTCTTTTTACAGTGTGATTCAGTACGAGCTTTTTTCCAACTGCATCTCTTTATGGCCGCGTGGCCGTGCACAGCTTTCTATTCAGGCAACAACTGTGTGTTCTGGTTTGTCTTTGAAAGACTCTGCACGAGTCCTTCTCTCTAAGCTGTACAAGCCCACAGTCACGCTGTAACAGTTGACAGGAGAACAGAACTTTGGATTAATATTGCATGTGGACAAATGAGTTTGAATTGAAACTACAGACACTCCAGTTGACAGCTGTGCTGTGAAACGGCCTACAGCTGTTACATTATTAATTATGTCTCTCTCTGTGTTTCTCTGCAGTCGCTTGGAGCAGAATGGCATCAAGTCGGTTCCTCCGGGCGCCTTCACCTCCTACAAGAAGCTTCGTCGAATGTGAGTCCTCTAAAGACACGATAACTCATGAGTAACAGTTGAGGTTAAAGAAAGGTTGTGGATAATTATTCAATCAGTGACTGAACTCTTAGCCAGGTTAAATAAACCAGGAGGAGACACAAACATCCACGAGGGGTGCAACCAACGATTATTTTTATTGTCAATTAATCATTTGGTCTATAAAATGTCAGAAAATAGTGAAAAATGTCTTAAATGTTTTTATCTAGTCTTTAGTCAGTCCAAAAACCAAAGATATTATGTTCGATATGATTGAAAAACGTTAAATCGATTCATATAGAATATAATAATAATTGTCAGATTAATCGATAATGACGATAATCGCAGCCCTAATATGATCAGTATGACACAAAGGGATTCAATATATTCTCCATAGGAGGTAGTTTGAAAGACAGCTAACAGAATAACACCATCTCGTCAGAGAAGCTTCGGTTTTTATGGCTCCATCCCTTTGAGTTTCGACTCAACCAATGAGATTACAGTATGTCTGCCTCCAGCGAGTCAATGCCTCTGGGGAAAAACGTCTGTTTTTTAAACTGTGATCCGCCAACTGGATCCCTCTCCTCTTCCTCTGTCTCCCCCCCGCTCAACATAACAAACAGCCCCAGTGGATTTTCAGCACCGAGGAGCGCTTGATTTATGTCAGTCAGCAGAGCCGTCCCCATCAGATCAGAGGCCCTTTAAGGGTCTCGCATGATGAATCCAGAGCATATCACTGGGATCTGGTGAATGTGTTTAAGATGCACATTTGACCACAATAATGTCATTTTATTAATGTTCATAGCTCTGTGCCCCATTTTCTGTCTTTGTGGCTTTTGTTCTGTTCACTCTCACTGCTTCTCTCTTTCTCTTTTCCTTTGCCCATTTCCATCTCTCTCTCTCTCTCTCTCTGTCTCTCTGCGGTTTTCCTTTTCCTCTCAAACTTATCCCCCCCTCTTTCTCGTCCTCTTACATCATCATCGTGAGACCGTCCCACGTCCCTGAGACAGGGGTTGATTACATTACCAGGCTGGTTTAAGTGGTTTTGTGTTAAAATTTATTGTGACAGTTGAGCGACTGACATGTGGCGGCAGAAGAAGGATTTTATAATCTGACATGTTGTGGTTTGGCCGGACCAGAACAAATCAGAGATGTAAGAACTTGGCCTGCAGAAACAGCACTCGCTCTTGTAGAGCCTGGTTTTCACATAAAGTGCGGTTCCTCATTCTTTACAAAAAGTTCTGTATTAGATTTGATTTGAGGGATTAGAAAAAAGAACAATAAAACCATTCATGTATGCGTTGTGACCGTGATGTAGTTCATAGCGTAACGTTATCTTCTGCCGATTGCATTCAAGCTGCAAAAATCATCAACGTGGTGTTGATTTGTGAAGATTATCTTGCTGAACAAAACTAGTAAGTATCATAGACTTGTGTTCGCCACAGAGCTTATTTTCTGCAATAATCCTAAACCCAATGGAAAAATCCCATTGGCTTTTTGTCAACGGTATTGCGATGCTAATTTCCAGGTCTGGCCTACAGATGGACGTTGTCCCTGCAGGCTTCTACAGGACAGCAGTCTCTGACTTTACCTCAAAAACAAAGCAGTTCTTTAAATGCATGTTTCTGGCCGCTGTGACTAAAGTCTGTGTGTGTGTTCTCTGTTGTATTCCCAGAGACCTGAGTAACAACCAGATATCTGAGATCGCTCCCGATGCTTTCCACGGCCTCCGAGCTCTCAACTCACTGTGAGTAAGACTCAGAGTGTGTGAGTGTGTGTGTGTGAGTGTGAATACACTGTCGGAGTGCCTCTACCAATATGTGGTTACATATGTCTTGTCTATACCTCCATATGTTTGCACGGCATGCGTGTGTTTCGTGCGTCTGTTGGTATGAATAATTCAAAAGTGGCGCCTGCTCTCTGTAAACAGAACTTCTTTATGATATATCAGGACTTTCAAACAATCACAGCGGGTGGCCTTTATGTTGTTGTTGTTGTTGTGTGTGTGTGTGTGTGTGTGTGTGTAAGTGTGTGTGAGTATGACTGTCTCTGCCAGCGTGACTCTCTTCTGGTCGTGGATTGTGTGGAAATGTGTGGTTACAGCGAAGCTTTACCAATGGAATGAAAGTCGTACTGTTGTCTATGTTGATGCACATTGATAATAAAACACACTGTTAGGATGCATACAGTACGTCTTTGTGTACAGGGTTCTGTACGGTAACAAGATCACTGAGCTGCCCAGCGGAGTGTTTGATGGCCTGGCCTCTCTGGAGCTGCTGTAAGTCCAAAACCATTTGTCTGAGCTTGACATTGACTGACCGTGTTTTACACAAACAAATTGCAGGTGTCAAACGGCTTGAAAGTGCCCGTAAGTTGTTCCATTCTTGGATGGAAACGTACGAGTCTCTGTTTCTTCAGCCAAGTCAAACTGTTGCAGATCTGTTTCTCATAAAACAGGCTGTGATGTTGCTTGTTTTGATAACACTGCCATCGCCTTGCGTGCCACACAATGTATTCCACATGCTGAGGCTTCAGTGGTAGTAGTTGTGCATAGAAATAAATCGGAGTAGAAGGGACATTTCCATTCTAATTAACACAGCAGGGCGGTCAGAGCAGCACACTTCTTTATGTGTGCCATTGTTTCAGTGGCTAACAATCAAAAACTGAGTTATTTTTGCAGTGACGAGTACAATGAGTATCAAATATAACGGCTTAATGCTTCATCCACACGCACAGCTGAGGAAAGCACATCGCTATAAGATGAGCGACAACTTTGTTCGGCTCATTTTCAGTAACTAGTGTAAAATGTAATCCTAGTGGAATTTACAAGCTAGCTAGCTAGTTATCTAACATCATAGCTAGCTAGCTAGTTAGTTATCTAACACGCTAGCTAGTTAGCTTGTTAGTTATCTAACATGCTAGCTAGCTAGCTAGTTAGTTAGTTATCTAACACGCTAGCTAGTTAGTTAGTTAGTTATCTAACATGCTAGCTAGCTAGTTAGTTAGTTATCTAACACGCTAGCTAGCTAGTTAGTTAGTTATCTAACACGCTAGCTAGCTAGTTAGTTAGTTATCTAACACGCTAGCTAGCTAGCTAGTTAGTTATCTAACACGCTAGCTAGCTAGTTAGTTAGTTATCTAACACGCTAGCTAGCTAGTTAGTTAGCAACAGGACCTTCATTTACAACCCTTACGATGAATTAGAAAATGATTGATGATACGTATATGTGACAGTTTAATTAACATACTGCTAATGATCGTGTCATGTGTGCATCAGGTTGCTGAATGCCAATAAGATCCACTGCATCAGAGCCTCCGTGTTCAAAGATCTGGAGAACTTGGCTCTGCTGTCGCTTTATGACAACAAAATCCAGAGTCTAGCGAAAGGCACCTTCAGCTCGCTGCACAGCATCCAGACGCTGTAAGAAAACACACACACACACACACACACACACACACATACACACATGCTATTTTAAGCTCTGTGCTGTTCCACTCCATTCAGTCTGATCCGACTGATGTCCTGCCCCCTGTGATTTCCCATCAGCCACTTGGCCCAGAACCCCTTCGTGTGTGACTGTAATGTGAAGTGGCTGGCCGACTTCCTCCGTTCGAACCCCATAGAGACCAGCGGAGCGCGCTGCGCCAGCCCTCGACGCCTCGCCAACAAGCGCATTGCACAGATCAAGAGCAGCAAGTTCCGCTGCTCCGGTCAGTGTGTGTGTGTGTGTGTGTGTGTGTGTGTGTGTGTGTGTGTGAATTGAGACGGGTGGTGACAGTCTGGGTTTGCGAGTGTAAGATGATGAACCACTGCAAAGCTTCCCTCAAGAGAAATATTCACACAGTATGTGTAAGAAATGCAAATCATAAACCCCCCAAAAGCCTTTTGTGTCATATACATGAGCTATTAGCATATATATTAGTTAGTGACATTCTGCTGTCAGACACAATCACTTCTCTCTGCATGGTACAAAAGGCATTGTGCAGAAAAAGGGGAAATTTACTACAAGGAGTTTTTAGACTGTCTCAATATAAAACTGATGCTGAAAAATGAGCTACATCATCAGAAACTGAAGATTTGTCCATTTTCTATATAAGATCTATGGCACGCAAACTAGAAGAGCTAATGTTTACTCTTTCCCGTTTTGCAGTGAGTATTATACTGATCAGCAAAGAAAAACATTAAAGTCAGAACAAAACAAAACAACCCTTAATAATAAAGGGACAGTGTTAGAGCAAGGGTGAAAAACAGGAGTCAAACTTGGTCCGTCGTTCAACAGACGGAGAGAATCAGCCCTCATCCTACACTTATATGTCTACTTTATTAATGCAGTACATTGGAGATGTGGTTTTACATCAATATATGAATTTACTTTGGTGACTTACACAAAGTTGACTTTGTTTCATCATCATCATATTACACGTATCGCTATCCATCCTGCAAACAGCTGTGTTTAAAAAAGAAAGAAGTTGTTAAAAATAAGTTTTCTTTCACTCACTTCCAAAACCAATTGCCACACACACACTAGATCAAGATCTTTACGATGCAAGGCCGTTAAACACTACCGTCTTTGTCCACAAAATCAACGCAAATTGAAAGTTCCTTGTAGTTGCTTGAACCAAAAACAACTTATTGTCTCTTTTTATTTGATTCAAAACTCACATCAACTGCAAGTGCACGTCTTGTCTGGCTTAACCAGCGTTAACCGATGTGTGTCGACCTGTGGACCAACTCTCTTTTCCTCTCAAATCTCTTATATCTGCTGTAAATAACAATAACAATATTATCTGTTCAGGTTCCTACCGCTCAATGCCAACTTTTGGAATGAAAACATAGCAATTCTTCTTCTTGTTTTAGACCTAAGAACCGTTAATATTTGCAGATATCAAAGTTCCTCCATAAAACACCAAAACATGGCTCGCTTTACGCCTTCTTTCATGTTTAAAAATGTTAAACGTCTGCTGCTGCCAGTTTTATAGAAGACCTCCTCCTGGAGTGTGTGTGTGTGTGTGTGTGTGTGTGTGTGTGTGTGTGTGTGTGTG